CTCTGCATCCACTGCAATCCCAGAGTCATTCAGGCTGGAAATGACCTCCAAGAGCAGCAAATCCAAGCTGTGCCCCATCCCCACCCTGTCCCCAGCCCAGAGCTCTGAGTGCCACATCCAGGAATCCCCTGGGCACTTGCAGGGATGGGGATCCAAACCCTCCTGGGCAGCCCCTGCCAAGGCCTGGGCACCATTTCCATGGAGAAATTCCCGATTTGGACCCCTCTGAGCATAAGTCACTGTTTTTATAGTGACACAAAACAAAACACCCGTGCATTTTCCTGGCCTTTCTCCAAATTGAAGTGGGGCTGAATATGAGGGTGGGAGGAGAGTGGGTGAGAACCCAGGCTCCTCGGGGACAGGACGATTTGATTTACGAGCAAATTTCTTCAACAGAAGTCCCAGAGATGCCATTTGAGAGGGACATTCCCAAAGTGGCTGCCGGGAAGGCAGGATGAGGGTGGGACCTGCTCTGCACCTCTCAGTGCCATTATTCCTCAGCAAAATAAACAACAGGAGCCACGGAGCAGAGAGCCACGAAAGCTCAGCAGAACAAGGAGCACACGAAATGCAGCTCAGGCAGCTCAAGGACTCATTTGTGGCTCCCCAGCAGAGGAACCAGCACCATTTAAAGCTCTGTTTCCTCCACCTCACATGCTTTTGCTTTCGTGTGTCCCAGCTGATAATTGTAAAAAAGTTAGCTCCGTTTTTAAGACAACATTTTTCCAAAGAAATAAAAATAAAAAAATCCTATCCTCTCCTGTTTGATCCATTGCCCCTGGATCCCTGGCAGTGCCCAAGGCCAGGAGCAGCCTGGGATGGTGGGATGGTCCCTGCCCATGGGATGGAGGAGTCTGAAGGTCATTCCAAACCAAAGCAGTCTGTGGTTCCATGGGATGCTGCACTGGGATTTGGGATGGTGAGGGCCCTCAGAGCAGAGCTCAGCAATGGGAGGAAGGTGCAGCATCACCCCAGCCCCACAGCTCTGGTGTGCTGTCCCCTGTCCCCCTGCCCCACAGATCCCTCCCAGACACCTGGAGAAGTCCCTGATGGAGAACTGTCATATTTGACATTTCTCTCATTTTCAGGCATGGGAAGAGAAATGTTCAATTTTAACTGGGATGCCTAATGAAGATTTATTTATGTGGAAATAAGCACTCTTCCTTGGAGTAACTGGGTTATTTTTTCATGACCACTAGACCTTAGATCTGCTCCTCATTTCTTTCCATACCCACAGAGGGCAAGAAATAGCCATACTTGGTCAGTGAGAAAATGAAATTAAATGCAAATAGACATGTACTGACTAAATCCGAGTTTCCCAAGGTCATTATTCCCCTAAATGCCAAGTCCCTGGGGTGAAGGAGGGGCAGCATCAGCCCAGGGCTGGCAGTGTGGGGACCCATCCACCAGTGCCCTGGGCCTGAGGGTGAGGATGGGCACTGGGAACACTGGCAGGCCTGGAGGCACGGATGAACATGGGAAAGGTGTTAAAACTGCTTTTATTTCCTTGGATGGAGCCTCCCAGTGCCACCCCTGCCATGGCAGGGACACCTCCCACTGTCCCAGGGTGTCCCAAACCCCAATGTCCAGCCTGGCCTTGGGCACTGCCAGGGATCCAGGGGCAGCCCCAGCTGCTCTGGGCACCCTGTGCCAGCCCTGCCCACCCTCCCAATCCCTCCCCAATATCCCAAATATCCCTCCCCTCTCAGCCTGAAGCCATTCCCTTGTCCTTCCCCTACCTCAGCTGAAGAATCTCTGCTGGGAACACAGGGCTTCATGCTTGGCAGTTTCCTAAGGAAGTTGCTTTCTGCAGGGGCAGGATAAAGACACCCAGCAGGATTCCCAAAGCAGCAGGACACAGAAATCTGCTGGGACACAAACCCAGCACTGCTCTGGGCACAAATCCCTGCCCGGGGTTTGGTGGCCCCGGTCCCTGCTGCAGTGACAGCTCCTGGCACAGGACAGCAGCCCTGCTGACTCACCAGTACAACTCCTGCCCAGAGCAGTTTTTCCATAAAAATAAACCCAGCCCCAATAAATAAATGCATTCCCATCGTGAAAGCCGGATTGGTGGCTGGGAAGGAAGAGCAAAACAATTTCCCTCTGGATTGGAGACTCCAGGGCAAGCATGACAGAAGGAGCCCATTCCCCTGGGCAGGGGGACAGGGGAGGGGACCCCAGCCCCAGCACAGCCAGGGAAGAAGCAGCACTCGCTGACGAGGGGGATTTAGGAACTGGCACAGCTCCCAGCAGAGCAGACCTGGGGGATTCAGGAGCATTTAGCAGGGAGCCAAGGGTTTGGTGAACAGAAGCTCAAACAAACATCTCTCATTTGACAGATGGTGCTCACAGTTTACAGCTGGCACATTCAGAGGCCACCTTGGACCCATCGGTGCTCATGGCCACAATTGGGACACAAGAAGTGCCCCAGGCCTGCAGCCTCAACGTCTGCACTCCAAGGAGCCTCCCTCTGCAACCCACAGGAGTGATTTCCACAGGAATAGCAGGAGGAATGAAGAACATCACAATGACCCAACTCCTTTCCCTGCAGCTTCCCAGTTTGGACCAGCACAGTCCTCATGGGGGCTGCCAGGTCACAGCCCCTCCTGAACAGCTCCCCAGCACCACAGCCCTGGTCCAAGGTTAAAAATGACAGAAAATTGTGAAGAACACAAGAAAAAACCCCAAGCACAGCTCGGGGGTGGGTGTCACAGGAGCAGCAGAGGATTTGGAAGGAGCACAAACCCCAAGGCACCTCCAGAGCCTCCCCACGGCCCCAGATCCGAATTGTGCAATTCCAGGGCAGCCCCACAACCCCAGCCCGGGGCAGAGTGCACGGCTCTGCAAAACCCACATTTCTCAGCTGCCTGGACACACAGAAATGCCTTTATGGGGACATTATTTGGGCAGCCCCGAGGAGCAGCTGGACACTGGCACCATTCACACACCCTGCAGCCACGGGGCAGGGCTGGGGACAGACCTGCTGCTGGCAGCCCTCCTCACCCTCCTCATCCTCACCACTGCAACACAGTCCCAGCGAGGGCAGAACCCCACAGAGCTCTCAAAAAACACAGGCACAGCCCCTGATCCCTGAGCAAGCACAGGGATCCACTCCACATCCACTCCCCACAGAATAAAATCAAATTAGATGCTTCATTTCTCATTGAAAGATTTCATTAAAGATATTTGATTTAAATATTTGGGGTCACAGAGAATATTTGCCCTGTGGTGTTAGCCCCCTTAGGATCCATCTTTCAGCTTTTAGCTCAACACAGACCAAAACCCCAAATGTTCCTGCATGTGCACAAGTTCTCTCATCATCACTGTGATTTGTGGAAAAGCACCAAAGAGCCACGAGCTGCCAGTGCTGTCCTGCTCAGCCCTGTCTCACTCACACAACCAGTGCCAGCCCTGTCACCCAAACCCCGGGGAACAGCACGGTGCCTCTGCTCCCCAGAGCCCCCCACAGCTTCAGCTGAGTGATTCTGCTGGATTCCTCTCTAACTTCTGCTAAGAGAGAAATCATTAGGAAGAGACAACTCTTGGAACCTGAAAAATTGTGCATTTGGCAACCAGTAAGGTGCCAGCAAGACCCAAAACCTCAAGCCTCATTCTGTGATAAGACACACCATTTTCTGCCCCTTGAAGGATAAAACAGAGTCATCCAGCTGGGGGAATGGGATGTGAGTGACTCCAGAACTTCAACCACAGACAGAGAAGCATTTTTACTCTGTCTGTGCCCTATGTAAAGCACAGCCTTGGTGTGGAGGTGTCCTACCTTTGGGAGGTCTGTCCTGCCCCCACAGCTGAGGGATGGTCCCCAGGGAGCAGGCACGGCACAGGAGAGGCTGGGGGGCTGCTGCAGCTCAGAGTTTAGTGGCAGGAGGAGGATGATGATGGAAGCAGAGCAGATGATGAAGCTGGATGAAGCCTGTGTCTGTTCCACACTTACCTTCCTGCCTGGGAGAGCCAGGCAGGGCCTGCAGCCATCCTGAATGCTGGAGTGAGAGCTGCACCTCAAACCCCAAACCCAGCCCAGCCAAGGCAAGGCAAGGTGCCCACAGCACCTGCACCAGCACTGGCCATGCCAAGCACCCAGTGACACCCCAGGGCATGGGCATGCTTCAGGTGGGTGGGACTGGGAGTGTGTGGGAGGGCTGGGAAGGATGGTGAGGATGGGGTCCCTGCACTGGGAGAGCCCTGGTGCCGGGAGGGGAGCAGCATTCCACCCCTGGGGATGTGCTGGGGGAATGGGATGGGCTTCACCTCCTGGGGAAGGGGATTTATCTCCTGGGGAATGGGATTCACCTGGGGAATGGGCTTCACCTCCTGGGGAAGGGGATTTATCTCCTGGAGAATGGGATTCACCTGGGGATTGGGATTCACCTCCTGGGGAAGGGGATTCACCTCCCAGGGCTCTGAGCAGATCTTCACATGGCAGGGATGGGAGCTGCTGTGGGAAAATGCAGCAGGGCTGGCAGGAAGGAAATTCCCCCAGTGGAGCCATCAGGCCTGGGCTCTGCTGCAGCGAGTTCAGGGACTGCAGAAATAACTCAGCCCTCCCCAGGGAGCCACTGCTAAGGTCACTGTTTTTTCCCTTGAACTTTCCAGATGAAGGAAGCAATAGCAGAAGCAACAGCATAGATCTGGCCAGAGATCAACTGTACTGACAACAGTCACAGGATTGAACTCAGAAGAAAAGTCCTTTGTGTGTGTTGGAGTTATCACCAGATGGGCTGGGCAGCACTGGGGAGTTCTGCTCAAAAATATTCCACATGGGCAAAGCCATGGGAGTGGAGCTGAGGGCAGATGTAAACCACAGTAACTAACTCCACTGCTCAGACTGAGTCCAAAATAGAGGGCAAACGTTTGGTGCCCATTAAAAATTAAAATGTTCAATGGTATTCTTCAGCAAACTGCTGAGGTTGGGAATAAGAAACAACTCTGATTAAAGATTAAGGATGGGGAGTCTATAAAACACTAATTACCATTGTACTTACAGGGAATTTGGCCTGTTGGGCTTAATTACTTCTAGTTCAAGATCACTTGAGTTCAGGCTGGGCTGGGGAGCACTGTTGGAGTTGAGGAAGCTGTTTGCATTTGAAGAGATGACGGATTCCAGGCTGGAGTTGATGATGCTGTTCCTGTTCTCCTCTAAAAAAACACCAAAACCCAAGAATCATCAGCTGCCACTGCAGACAAAGTGAAGAGCAAATGGCTGTGAAGGCAGGGAGCTCTCCCAGGAAACCCTGAGCCAGTGCAAACAGGGACATCTCCCCAGAGCCCAGCCAGCTCCAGACACAGCATACATCAAACCACAAGAAACACCAGGCACTCCTTGGCTCTTCTGGGTTTAAGATGCAGATACATTTACATGAACACCATTTTTAGTAGGAAAATACACACTTTTCTGAAGGTATTGATATTTTATATTCCTGAAGGCATCCAAAACGCCACAACCTGAGAGAAACTGGAATGTAAGCTCTGGGCAGGAATGGATTTGTGTGGCTGAAATCAGCCCCCAAGGGATGCAGTGTTGGGTGAGAGAGCAGGACAAGACCTTAGGTCAGGAACAGGGCAGATCACCCAGCTCAAGCTGCTTCAGCCTCGTATTTGACACCAACCACTGCTTCTCTTTCCCAGTCAGCTCTGAAGGAGAAGAGGATGGGTGTCTGCTCCATTCTGCCTCAGCAGTGGAGCAGAGTTTGCCTTTGGATCTGATGTGGAGTGGGATGTGCTGGGCATGCCCCAGGGCTGGGGGAGTGCTGCCACTGCCCTGCTGACAGCCAGGGCTTCTCAGAGATTCCCCTTCCCCTCCAGCACATCCCTTGGGAGATGCTCCCATGGTTTGTGCAACCTCAGCAGGGAGCACTGACAACACTGTGCATCTCCAGGACAGTATTGTGCATCTCCAGGACA